AACAAGTTTTTTTAGATAGTAATTCTTAATTATTACGTCTAATTAGTTATTATATAGTTTTGATCAGGTTCAAGTCTGGTTCAAAATTTGAACTAAACTCGAACCAGACTTTTAATTAGATTCAAATTTTCAAACTGAACTTTTTGTTAGATTCAAGTCTGGTTCAAGCTTGAACTGAACCAGACTTTTTTTCAGAACCCTAGTCAAAAGGATGTAGAGAGAAGTTTGTGCTTGACTACCTACTCTATATAAAGTGCAAACTTTACTCCTTTGAATGATCAAAACTATATAATAACTAATTAGACGTAATAATTAAGAATTACTATCTAAAAAAACTTGTTCATATCTAATTCTAATAACTATGATACATGTTGCTTTTATACAAATTCAAGATATAATTTATCAGTTATATGAATTCATATTCATTATATTATTTAAATTCTATTGGTCCAATATTCATTCACTCATTTATTTAGTTATTTGTTTGTTCATTTACTCATTCACTTGTTCACTTGCTTGTTCACTCACTTTACGTGATTTGACTTTTATCCAATAAGATATGAAATATATATAATCTAATAATATGAAATATTATGACGAAAGATCATTATACAACAATATAATAAGTTTTTATAATATTTATTTTTTTGATAAAGTAACATTTTAATATAATATTATTAAATTTCTTTTTTCAATCATGTTATTATATTAAGCATATACTATTTTATTTAAATATTATTAAAAACAATTTTTACTTAAATTAATTACAGATGTATTTTATATTGTTACTAGTTTAATTAACTTTTAAAATACTCAAAGATACTTATAAAATTTAAAAAAATATTCAAAAGAAACTTCTAATATTTTAATAACAATTTAAAATATTAATAATACTTTATAATTATTAAAATAAATATGAATAAGTACTAAAAGTATTAATAACAAAATTACTTAAAGATTAATAACATTTTGTATTTTTTAATATAAGAATCTAAACAATTAGAGTGTCTTCAAAATCTCAAAGTCAAATATATAGATATTATAATATTTGTATTATAACAAATATGATTCAAAGATAGATTTAGTAATTATAATAATAATTTCTTTATTTAAATATAATTTCAATAAGCTTTATCACAAATATGTTTAGAAAGCCTAGAACTAATTACTTAATAATATAATACCTGTGACAAATATATTTGAGTAACTAATACTTTATTTAAGAACTGTATAATACTTATAGTAAATATATCAAAGCAATTATATAAGAAATAAAAATATATTTTGTTAAAATAGTATAAAAAAATTTGTACTTGACTACCTATTCTATATAAAAGGCAAATTTAGCTCATATGAACAATTAAAAGTACATGATACTAGTTATAAAATAATAATTAAGAGTATTACTTATCAAGAACTTGTTTCTAATCTAATTCTAATAACTATAATATATGCTACTTTTATATATGTTCAAATTATAATTTAACAAATACACAAATTCATATTTACTAGTTCACTTAAATTTTATTAATCCAATATTTATTTATTTATTTGTTTATTTACTTGTTTGCTTATTTATTTACTTATTTATTTATTTACTCACTAAGTCACTCACTCATTTCATGTGATTATGTTCTTTCAATAAGATATGAGATATTTATAATCCAATAATATTAAATATAAATAATTCAATAAAATATTCAATCAAAATTCATTATATAACAATATTGTATATTGTTCTTATAAATTATTCTTTTGTCAAAAATAATTTTTAATCAATAAAAAGCCTTAATTTCATGTAATAATTTTAACATGTCACAAGAAACTTGATAATTAAAGATCATAAATAAATCAATCAATAATTACTAAGTGATATAATTAATAATTGAATTGTATTTTGCTTTAATAATATTCTAATTTAATTATAATTCATGTGTTAACTTTGCTATAATTATTATATTTTATTTTATTATCTAATATTAACAAATAATATTTTCTATAACTAGTATTCAATAAAATATGCATAATAATTATTCAATGAAATATTTAATAAAATATAAGATAATTGATCTGTATAATAAAGTTCATATCATAATAATATAAATATATCATTAACTAATTAATTATCAAATAAAATCTTGATAATAAAATTGTTCAATAAAAATATAAAATATAATCCAATAAAATAAAAAAATGTAATTGTCGAATAAGAGTTTGATGATAAAATCCAATTCATAATAGTATTGTTTGACAAAACAATCTTGTAGTTATTTCAAAACACCTGTTTGATATACTTGCATTTTGGAAAAACTATTATATCATTAATAAAATACCTATTAAAGTTTCATATGTGTAAGCAATTTGTACACATGAAAGAATTAAAACATAAATTATCTCTTTTATAGTCATATTAGATAAAAATCCTGTTTTTTTCAAGAACCAGCTATAATAAAAGCCCAATAGCGTCCGTTAAACCAAAAATCATGTTCAATTTAATTAATACGCGATCCTATACATTCCAGCACCGATTGCACCTTTTAAATGATTGACGTTGCCACATATCAATAAATTATTTTAGTTTATGCAATCTACATAAGTAAAATAGCTTACTTATTCCAATAATATTCAATCCAACACTTCTTAATCGCAAATACGGTATGATTTCTTCAGATTTTTTAGCGAATTGAGTCATTGCCCTGCGTTGTCGTAACGCGTATAAACCAAGTCCAATGAATGCTGTGCCGGCTACAAGTTTGCACGCGTAACAATCTTCATAATCGGATTCTTTTGTATTTTTTGTTGTTCTTGGATCTGATGATGATGATTCATTTGTAACTTTTGCTAAGTCAAAGTGTTTGTTATTGTCGGATGCCATTTTGAAAAGAGATCTAATTATCACATCAATCAGCTTTTTAAATTAATTGAGCCAATAGAATATTAAATCTAAAAAGTCATGTGATGTAGGTAATAATTTACCAATACTTTTAAAAATATACATGAAACGAGTCTATTATTAGAAAAGGTTCTAGAAGGAATCATCCAAAAAATTGATACAATGTATAGATTAACAACGTTCAATGAGTGTGTATAGTTAAATTATCGCTGTTGACCGCAAGATTAAATAATCATGCGAGATTATTCTATTTATATAGATCTTTATAATTCTGTTGATACGAAGAAAAGAGAAAATGAAATTTGATATATATCTTTTAATTGGTTACACGGACAAGTTCCACGGAGTTTGTTGCACCAAGTATACGTTTGATGTCACCATAGATGGCGAATTGCCCAGCTGTTAAAGTTCCAACCATAACAAGACGAGCACCAAGACCCAGAAATAGTCCTCGTGGTCCAAGTTCCTGTGCCAATTTAATGAGCCGAGAAGTAACAGACCCTGGTGTACCCTTTTGTTTGTTAATCTTGGAAAGTAGGGTGTCCGCTGGTTGCGATACTACTGCTGCAGCGAGACCAGCAACAAGACCAGAGCCAAGATTGATAGCAGTATTGGTTGATACAGCAAGCTCACTTTTTGGAGTTTGGATGACGCTATATACTACTTCCTATGACATTCGTATCCGAGCGATTTCCATTAATTATACGCTGCTTATATATATAAATATAAAATCTGAAAATCTGAAAATAAATACAAACCACAGTCTTTTCGTAAACTGCAAATTTAGCCATCGTATATGGAATTTGCTATCATAATAAAGAAAATTTCATCATTAGTAAAGTTATAGAAAATTTTATCCTATCAATTTAATTATATGTACTTTGAATAAAATTGGTCCAAATCCTGAATAAAATCCACGCATAACACCTTCCTCCCTAAGAAGACGAGCAAAACCACTTGCAAGGCCTGAAGCGAAATTAGGTTGCGATACTAACCGAATACGAGTAGCCTCTAAAGGACATAATGCAATATCGGCAAAGAATTCCGCGATAGCGGCGGATCCTAGATACACAGCAGTACGATTTGCAGTGGCTGTTTCCACTCCAAGAATATCGATCATGGTTTTTTTCCAAAACTCATACCCGCCAAATTTGAAGGCACCCTGTAAAAAATAACCGGCAAATGTGGGTCCTAAGCCAGTGGCAAGTGCTGCTACACCTTCATTTCGGATGATTTTACGTGTGGAATCAATCATGCCTTTGTTGTAGGTGGCAGAATCCAGCTGCATACGTGTTTTCACCACATCAACTATCGGAAAAAAAATCAGATCAATATTAATATTATCATTTTTCTCGTGTAGCTTCCGAAGCAACTTTGGATTGTAGATGAATGAAAATTCTTCATCGCGGCTGTTTCGTTAACAGCGCTTATTGCAATTCAAACACAAGAAAACTTGTAAACGTACCTGGTGTCAGAGCACCATGCGTCACACCACAACATACTGCACCAGAGAAAGCAAAACGAGCGTATAAATCTACACCAGTAGGCACAACAGCCGGAGCTTTTAAGGGAGCAAGCACTGGCTCAACTGTTGATAAAGCAGACGACTTATCTGAAGACATGTCAAATTTAAAATTTTATATAACAGAAGAGTGGAGAATAAAAGGAAATAATGTAATGTTTAAAATGCAAAAAAAAAAACGATCAACAACCACACCGAATGTTTTTTTATTTTTTTATTCCACAATTGCCAAATCAGGTTAGCTATCGAATGTTAAAGGGTACAATGTAAGAAAAACCGGTCATTTTCGGAGCGAATTTCCTCTTATAAATTATTAAAATTGCTCATTTTAAGTCATTGAGGCTTAGACATGTTGAATTTATTTCTAATATTAAATAATAATGAACTAACGCTAATCGATATCCTTAGTTATGACGTTTTTAGTTTATGATAGTGTGCTATTGACCTTTGCGCTGGTTTTTTTAGTTGTGGGCGTAACAGTTGTAGGTGTGGTTTAAAGACAAGAAACGTCATTTTATCCGAATTTAGCTTATTAACTTTTTATATCCTCTTCGGGAAAATAAAAAAAGCGGGACTTAGTTTATTTAGAAAGAAGACAAAGAATGATACTTTTCTTTTATTAGGTTTATCAGGTTCCGGGAAGACCTCGTTATTTGCATTGGTGATTATAATAAAAATTGAAACGCTCTTTTTTAATCTCTATTAATAATGTATTTTTTGATCGTTAGTTGCGATATGGAAAACTTACAGAGACACACGCGTCAATGAAAGAGAATGAAGCATACATTACACCCACGATCGAAATCATTGACGAAGTAATTAATCTTTGAATTTTTCAACAACAACAATAATATTAATATTCCACAAAGATTTAATTGGTTGTATCTTTTTTAAGATTGAGCCCCTTACCAAAAAACCAGTTCACATCGTCGATTTACCAGGTCACGAGAAGTTACGATTCAAATTTACAGAATTTGCGCCAATTGTTCGTGGAATAATATTCCTGATTGATAGTGCGACTTGTTCAAAGAATTATCGGCAGATCTCAGAGTAATATGATTGAATTAATTTTCAAAGATTTGAACTTTTTGATGTATTTATTTTTCAATGACAATCAAAATAGGTATCTATATGATATTTTCTCGAATAAAGATATCGCCAAGAAAAAAGTGTCGGTTCTGATTGCATGCAACAAGAATGATTTGTTGACTGCGTTACCGCCCGAAAAAATTCAAGCATCATTGCAGAACGAAATGTAAACACATATATGCTTTGAATTTTTTATAAAATTGTTGATGACTTACAATTTTTATGATATACTTAGAAACCGATTACGTGCAACACGCACTGCCGCGCTAGAGCATCAAGATTCGTTGTCCGAGGATGCGGAATACTTGGGCTACGAGAATGAAGATTTCAAATTTGAGCATTTGGAGAATCGTGTAGAGTTCGTTTCTTGTTCAGTGGAGAATGATAAAGTCAAGCATTTGAAAGAGTGGATTGCAGATGTGTATTCTGGTTATTAGACAATGAGGATGATATTTATTTATTTGTCGGAGATAATTAATTACTCATCAAGTAATGTTATAAGACACAATGATAATAATATATAGAGAAATATTTGGTATATATTCAACAATGCACATTTAATTTATTTTATGTATGGCTTCTATATTTTGCAAAAAATTGAGCGGGAAGTAAATAAATAGCAGCGAATACATTGAGTAGAGATTCCTTATATATTGATGTGTGTTAGGGTGGGTGGATATATAAAGTTCTGTAAAAACATTAAAAAAGTTGTTGAAATAAAAAAATCTTGATTATGATCTAGAAGAGAATTTTTTTTCAAATTGCACAAACAGCTCAATCAAATTTTGGGTAGTTCTTAATAATAATTCTTCTCAATAAATAAAGATCGAATTTCCAAATATGAAATCTTCACGTAGCATGATTAATAACTAGAATTATTATGATGATGTCTCAAAGGCTTTGCAACAAACACAACACCACCATCATCCTCATCACTATCAGTAATATTATTTTGACCATCACCATTAATATCTGATGATGTGCTATGATTTTGATTATGCAAACCCAAAAAGTTTTTGCCACCACCACCACTTCCATTATCCTCTAAATGTAAGATTCTATTACTACTATTATTAATATTATTGTTTTTGTTATTTGAATGGTCTGAATGTGATCCCACCGCCGTTATTTCATCATAATATTCTCGATTTCTTACTTCACCTACACCTTCACCTTCTTCACCTTCTGCTTCTACTTTTTTGTCTTCTTCCCTTACCTCATTCTCGTCTTCCTCAACACTCAGCACCCAACTCTTATTCAAACTACTATGTGAATTATTGCTTTTCCTTTTTGAAGCAAAAGTTCGTGAACCGGGTCGCGCATAATGATCTAATGCGGCGACAACAGTATTTTGTGAAGAAGTTGCAGGTGAGATCCCAAGTGTCGATCGCGAGGAGGATGACGAGAGAGAAGGCTGTTGATCATCGGAATCGATTCCGAAATTTTCTAAATCTTTGGATATTCGTCGTCGTGCTGACGCAGTCTCTGGCAAACTCGAGCCATAGACACTTGGTCGTCGTCGATTCACGTTTAATAGATTGTTATTGTTATTACTGATATTGCTATGATGATTATTAGTAGATGGCACTATGGCAATCGGGGCAGAAGCAGTATTAATGGTCGAGGAATTCGTGTATGTAAGATTATCTGTTCTCGTTATTTTTATTTCATTTTTATTAGAAATATTTAAATTATTAGTATCTCTCGGTTATTTGTCAATGCCAAAATTATTCGGGAGTCACCTTCAGATTTTGTTGATGGGCCAGATATGGATTTTGATCGTTTACGAAAGCCTAATGCTAGATTACCCAAAGATACCGAAATCTTTCGGATTTTCCTTTTCAGACGATCCTATTTAATTATTAAATACATCACCAGGGAATGGATATTAATTAATAAATAGAAAAAATCTATCATAAATGTCGTCAATAAATACTTACAATAAGTGTATATGCACCCTTGACTTCTTCATCTGTAACAGTGACCGCTTGGTATTTTTTCGGGTCTGTCTCTTCCCGCCATTTATCTGGATTAGGCAAATCGGCGACCACCCAAGGATGTTTCTATTCGAGCAAAGAACAAATTGGTATCGTTTATTAAAAAACGAGAATCAAAGACATAAAAGAAAATTCAATACCTTAACTTCCTCCAAAGTAATTCTCTTATATGGATCTTTCTCAAGTAATCGTGCGAGTAAATCTTTCAAATCGTTAGGAGTTGGTATATTCTCAGGAAACTCGAGCGGCTTTCGTGGTATAACATTGAAAAACAATTCGAATTCCGTGTCTGCTATAAACGGACACTGACCAAAAATAAAACAATATAATGTCACTCCAAGTGCCCAAACATCAATAGCTTTGGTAATGGGTGGGCGATTCGCCGATCTATTCGTCGTAGTTGATGATGATGATCCAGCGACAGAAGAGGATAATGCTTGAGCATGATTTGTTATGGCGGATGCAATTGAACTGGATGTAAGCTCCAAAGGAATGTCGTCTGATCGATAGGTATTTCGATTGATATATTATTAATAAAATTCATTGATCATAATTTCGAGTCTTTATATGGTTTGCTCACCCGTAAAACATAATTCCGGCGCAAAAAAAGCAGGACTTCCCGCAGTTTTTGCCAATTCTGTATCATTGCCCGTCGCAGCATTCTGAGCTCCGTTATCTTGTGTGGCGGCAACACGTTGATTAAAATGTGATACACCGAAATCAGATATTTTTACCACATGATCAGCGGTAAGTAATAAATTTGCGGGTTTTATATCTCGATGTATGATTCGTTGGTGGTGTACTATTATCATAAAGTATTAACAAATTTATTAGATTAATATCCCAATTTCGTCCGGTAAAGATGCAAATAAAAACATTGTTATTTATTATTTTGAACCTACGATATTCCAAGCCCAATACTACATCTCTAAAAATTTGTCTTGCCTTTTCAATACTCATGATCGGTTTATCATTTTCATCTTTCCACTGTATTTCTCCACCTTCCATGTACTCGAGAACTGTATCGATCAAAACACACGTTTGATATACACCGAAATGATCAAGATAAAAATATTGAAGTTAATCTAATTGCAAATTCTTCTTCCAATCTTTTTAATAATAATAATTTAAAAAATTATAGGTAGATATCTGTCGTGGGTTTGTTGATTCATCTATTCATTTTTTCCCCGATAATATAACGTGAATCGGATCTCCGAAAACGACAGTAATCAGCAAAGACATAACATAATAAACATACCCATATATATCTTTTTGCTCATCGGGTCGTCAATCACTTCTTTTAGACTAACTACGTGTGGATGAACACATTTTTTCAGAATGGCAATTTCTTTTCGTATTTTTTGTTCATTTGATGGCTCATTTTGTCGTTGTCCTAAACGCCGTCGTGATGTACGATCTACTATTTTTATTGCCTATCACCAACGAAAAATGAATGATTATTATTACAAGCTAGGTAATGCGAAAATGCGTGATCCGGAACATGTAAAGACACAATATTAATAATTAAAGATGCTATTTCTCGTAAAGAATCTTAATTATATGACAGATTAGATACCATCAAAATATCATACTTTCTGAATTTCTCGTATTTGAATACTCTCTCTTCATCAATTGTCATTACTCATAATTCGAAACACTATAAATTGTAAACACCCACTAAAACATGTGAATTACCATTTTACGCGTCGCATTTTATGCCTTACACGTACAAATATTTTTTTTAAATGAAAATCTTGAATAGATAATAAAAAAAAAAAAGGATTACTCACAACCAACTCATCCGTCTCCGTATCTCTCCCCAACTTCACTTTTCCATGAACACCTCTCCCAACTTCTCGAATTAACATGTACTTATTTATCACTTTATTTCCGGTCATTGGGTCATAGTCCTTGTTTATTGTATGCGTCTCTTTGACTTCAAAGCCATGTGCTGTATTGCTACGTTGATGTATTATTTTTTTATTGGTTTGACGTTGTTGTACTAGAGCAAGCGAATTTGAAGTAGATAATGATGAGATGGATGAGCGGTTGTGATTATTTTTACTGTTATTGTTGTTACTATTATGATTACTACTCGAAGAGAAAAATGAAAAGAGGGATTTTGATGAAGTTGGTGAAGATTCTGGTGGATTCTGAGGGTCATTAGAATAATCAACCGAAGAAGAGTCTCGTTTTGGGGTTGTTTCGTGAGCGAAGCTTTGACTTATGCTACCTTCACTGTTCTGTCCGTCACTATTAAGAGTTTGCAGGTGAGATTTAGTCCTCAAGCTCAAACGTAACCCTTTCTTTTTTTTGCTTGTTAGCTGAGCATCCGAACTAAGATTCACAGATTGATGGTTACGGTGGTGGGATCTTTCCTCATCTCCCGAAGAAGCAGCCGATGAGCCACTATGATAGGAGGTTGCACCGGTTGAACCTCTTCTCTGCCAAAGGTTTATTGGGAAAACGGGATCTAAACTGGTAGTAACTGCCACATTTGAGCCAGCGTGACGAGGAGCGACACTTTCCATTCCAATTTCTGTCGTTGTCAAAGAACTAGTTCTGTTGCTATCGCGATCCTCCATGCACGAGTATTTTTTGTGAGGGGTTGCTAGAGATTTAGTTTGTTTGTTTTTTGATTTTTTGATCGTGTTACCTGTGACGGTAATAATGCAAATGATTTTATTGCAGAGGATCGACTCTTTGAGATATGCATTGCATGCATTCTTTAAAATGACGTATACATGAACTTGTAGCTTGTCATTATTCGAATCTATCGTCAAACGTGAAGTATGTTCGAGAAGCCTCTACACGTTCCCGAACTCGATTATAAATATGTCTATATGCTCTTATTTGGGGATAATATTTTTCTTTTCTCAAATAAATACTTAATTTGATAGACATGGAAAAAAAAATCTTAGAATGGGCTATAAATAATACCACCAATGATTCTGTGGAAGGTGGGCAGCAACAGCCTGTTCCTGAAGATAAAGAAAGAGGACCAAAGAAAATTGTATTTTTGATTTTTATTTTGTTAGCTTATCTGTAGAAGCATGATTAAATTATTCTCGAATTTGATCAGGATCCCGAGATTATAGATGCAATATTGGGTCAAAGTGACGCTGTTCGCATGAAAGGTTATTATCTAAGAGTAAGATTCTGGTTTAATATCTCTGAGAATGTATGTTCAATTATGATTTCAAATCATTTAATAGAGGCTATTAATGCGATTGCTGACCCTGATGAAACTATGGAAAATAAAACGATTGCTTTCGACAACTTGGAGATGGTAATTGTTTGATCCTTTAGTTGGTATATATATATATATATATATCTCTATATCTCTATATATCTATATATCTATATATCTATATGTATTTCATTGATTAATTGATCTTTTTTCTACACACTTTTTAGCTGGTAGAACATGTTGATAACGCAAATGGTAAGTCGGGATGATGATCAGATGATGAATCTTTTTTGTCGAAATTGATAATTTACTTATCGAATCAACAACCCGATCAATTCATTAAGATATCGAGAAAATGAATCTATGGCCGAAACTGATCTCGTTTGTTTCGTTGCCGGATACTTCATTACGCGTACAAGCATTATGGGTGTGTGGGACTGCTGTACAGAATAATCTTAAAGCGCAAAAAGCGGTACGTAAATAAATACGTATATTTATTTTTATTAATAAAGAGGATCAAGAACAGGTTTTTATGATGATTTATTGTTTTTGATCTCAATAGTTTATTGATCAAGGAGGACTAAGAGTCGCACTTGACTTGCTAAAGAACACAAATGAAGATGCGGAAGTAAAAAGTAAAGCAGTGTATGCTGTCTCAGGTATTTATATGGTATTATAATTAATTTTTAGATATACAATTATTAAAATATTTTTACTTGAAAATTCTAGGCGCAATCAAACATTACAAACCAGCATTAGTACAATTCGAAAAAGAAGGCGGATACGAAGCATTGTTAGCATTGTTGCAGACTTCAGATAGTGAGGGCAATTTTTCTAATAATTATGCATTTTTTTGTTAACTCGTTAACGATAAAATTTTTCTTTTATTATCAATTTAAAAAAAGATTTACCAATTCTTCGAAAAACAGTCTTTCTGTTCAACACTCTAGTCTTGCAAAATCCCGATGTGGTCGCAAAGAATATCGGGGAAAAAGGGTTATCGAGGCAAATGGTCAAAATACTCGAGCAGTATGGCGAGCAGGATGAGGATTTGACTCATAAGGTTTAGTATTATCTTTAGAGTCTTTTTAAAAAATCAAAAATTTAATCTTGAAAATTCATGAATATCTTTTTTTTTTGAAATAAAGATTCTCACCACATTCTTAACCCTACTACAAAACTCGCCGAAGTCATTGAGCCCTATAGAAACCTCCGAACTCAAAAAATTCCTTCCCGAACTGAAAAAAAAGTACGGTAGTGATACTATGTTGAGTAGTGAAGAGTGGGGTGAATTGGAAAAGAAATTGTCAAATTGAACAGAATAAAGAAAAGCTAGCTAAGCTTTGATCACGTGTTTTTAGAATTTAAAAATTGAAAATTTTATAACGATAAGCATACACACAAAGATGTCGTTTCATTGTTCTCGACTTCAGTCCTCTTTTTCTCTCTTTTGTAAATCAATACTCTTGAATTCCAACACAAAAAATATAACAGGGAAATGGAAATGTGATTTATACTCTTTATCAGTAGGAAAAAAGTTCATTGGAACTTATAACAAGGATTCAAATCGACCGCATATGTTGTTTCCTATATTCAGAGAACTACCAACAGCAAACCTGGTGTCTCCAATAATACCAGAACAAAAATGGACACCAGACTCTATTCGTCTGGGTGTTCTTGCACGTAAAAAAGGCATGACTGCTCTGTGGGATGAGTGGGGCGTTCGAATACCCGTAACTGTTTTTCAGGTGCCAATCTTTTTCGCAAAAATCCCATTCTTTCGAGTATCTCATCCATAATAAATCTGATGATAATCCAACAAGTTAGAACATTGTCAAGTAATTCAAGTAGTATCGCATGGACCAAAAGCTCAGCGCGAGAATATAATCGATATACAAATTGGATGCACAGATCGTAGACGTCCCGAAAGATACATGACCAGAGCCTTGATTGGTCATTTCCGAAAAGTTGGTTTGGCACCCAAACAATACGTAGAGCTGTTCCATGTTACGCCCGATGCGACATTACCTGTTGGTAGGTGTAGGTGTTTTTTTTAAATTTTGTTTGTGGGCATTTAATAATGTTTCGAGTATGATCATCATGGTGTAATAACAGGAACAGAGTTAAAGGCCGCACATTTTGTGCCAGGACAATTTGTGGATGTCCAAGGAACCACGCAAGTATCTATGATTATTTTATTATTTAATATCAGAGTGTCAATAATTTTCTTTATAGGATCAACAAAGGTTTTCAAGGTGTAATGAAACGATGGGGTTTTAAAGGTCTACCAGCATCACATGGTACTTCGCTCGCCCACCGTTCCGGTGGTTCAACGGGTCAAAGAACGGTTTGTCGCAATATATATATAATTCTCATAACTATTAAAATTGCTTTTATTATTGACTCTTTTTAACCATTTATTTGTTTGACAACCATCAAATAAAAAGGATCCCGGAAAAGTTTTTAAAGGGAAAAAAATGGCCGGGAGGATGGGCGGAAAAAAACACACCTCACATAATCTTCAAGTTATAAAAATTGATAATGAACTCAACTGTTTATACATTAAAGGTGCTGTAGCAGGATACGCGGGCGAGATTGTACGAATTAAAGATGCCATACGAAAAAAAGGAGTTTTGGCATTTCCAAAAGATGCATTGCCGCCACCTTTCCCCACCATTCAGCCAAAGGTATTAAGCAGTATGCCCAGAGAGTTGATAGCAAAGACAGGAGGAACTGATCCTTTTTTGATTAAGGAATCTTAAATAGAGTATTATGTGAATTCAATTAAAATTTCAGATATCAATTCAAAGAAAATATTATAAATAGATTAAAAATTAAGAGTAATAATAAAGAAAACGAGCAAGGATTTTATGGAAAGTATTAAAATATAAATTATCAATTGTTTCTTTGTCTCGAAGAAGTAATCATGATGTTAGATTATCTGGTTGTGGGCGACCTGAAGAAATATTCATAGATCAGTCAGTCATAGTTATGAGATGTGATCATATGACAAAAGATATTTCAAAATCACTTACTTTTATATTGTGGTTGACGTTCATACGCATTCGGACTGTCACTTCGATCACGACTTGACCGTTTATTGGAACGATGATGATGGTGGTGGTGATTATGATTCGAGCCCTCTTCATCTTCTGAACTGTCACTACTACTTGATTCTGATGAGGACTCATCAAATGCCCGTGGCTTATGGTATATACAACATACTTTACAATTGAAATCGCGAAAAATTTCAATGTAAATATATAAACTCTTTGCTTAAGAATCTTAAGAAATTGAGAAAGAAGAACTTACCTTTAGATTTCTTTTTTCCTAATTTTTCGTTGTCAACCACGTCGTCTTCCCATTGCACATTTCGGTTCTCATTACCACCACATAGTTTCAAAGTACCAGAAATAATAGGTTCCTCTGCGTTGCTACTTGAGCCTTCACCACCAACACCTTGTTCAGCAACTTCTTCAGGGTGTATTGTCATTGTGCGAGAGCCATGGGTGGCTGGTGGGCCCTCAGGCATCATAACTCGAGTACGATACCGCAGTGATTCTCCAGACATTTTGTGAAATAAAAGATAAATTAATTGAAATTGTTGCGAGTGATGATATGTCTGTTTGGAATAGCGTGTGTAACTTATTATCCTAATGCATTATTCCCTAATACTTGCATAATGTTGCTCGGGTCATTTACAACCTCAAAAGTGAATACTTTCTTACAGAATACCTTAACATTAAATCATCCCAAATTCTTCTATCGCTATCTCTTCAGACAATCAAATAATATCCGCATAATTAAACGAGATCTAAGCAATAAAAATCAAATTAAAGTTCGACTAATCAAATCAGTAAAAAATTTAGGGCAACCAGGTGATGATAGTTTAAAAGTACACATAATTACCTCGTCCAATTTGATATTTTAGATTTGTCTGTCATCATGATTTTAATGTACTTTGACAAACAACAACGTAATTATCGATAATTTAGGAGATGAGGTTTCAGTCGCGAGAGGTGTAGTGTAAAATTTTTCTTATTTCATCGATTTACTTATATACGTGTAGATTGGTGAATGAATAAAAAATTTTAGGTTATATGAGGGAAGTATTATTCCCCGAAGGATTAGCGCGATATATTCTTTTGTCCAAAGTTCCAAAGAGAGTTCTCAAGGAAAAAATGAAAGGAACTCGAACAGAATCAGATAAAATGATAACAGGAACGATGAAAATTGTGCGCTTAATTTTTATCAAACTTTACACTATTAGTGATTTTTGCGCTCTTCACGTTATCACTATTATTCATCAAAGATTGATGTCCACTAGTTACCACTTCCTGGTGTAGAACCCGAGGCTTGTTCACCCAAGAGAATCCATCAAATACAAGTCAACATTGCCATTCTTACTCATCTTCCGATGTTACATTTTGTGCGTGATATCTCTTACACACTCGAAAGTAATTCAGAAATTAATCCGCCCGTAAAGATGAAACATGTCGTACAAAAACTCGCGCAATATGGAGCAAAATTGGAGGAAGAGAACATGTACTTTCCTAATTATATCAAGAATGAGATCAGAACATTTGGCGAACATCAATGCAGAATAGTGTTTCCTGAGGTTCGGCATAACATGTGGTTGAAGGTTATCGTGGGAAAGATGTAATAATTGTAGTGATGTCTATTCTGTAATAAAGAAAGAATACATTCCTTTTTTATATAAATGCGCACTAAATACAATTTCGATTGGCGGGCATAGTAAAATATTTTATATGATAATTATTACTAAAAGAAAATTCTTTATCTGTAAGAAGAAATGTTTGTTCTCTATGATTTTACCAGTGAGGATGAATTAACTAAATGCCAGAAAACTAATTATCTTTGACGTTTATACTCCCTTTTATTGCGCTTACGTGACGATCCAGGTGAAGAGCGTCGCTTTGACTTTATATTGCGCTTTGTTGGTGACCTCTTACGATCACGTGATCTTGATCTCGAAGAACTATCAAATAATTCAAGTTAGAAGAATAAGAATGCGTAAATTTATTCTTAAAAACTCGTATCACCTTGAATATCGACGCGATCTTTCACGTGATCTACTCGATGATCTGGTTCTGGATCGTGAAGATGACAATTTCCGTTTCGTTCGATGAGAACGATGATAATCAGAAGAACTTGATCTGAAAATGAATCCTAGAATCAGGAAAAAAATTCAATAGATATTATAAACTGAACATTAGAAGACGCACCTTGAGCGTCTCTTTTTCTGATAACTTGAAGAAGAATGATAAGATCTACTTCTTGACAAAGATCGTGACCGGGAAATACTTCGAGAGTGGCGACCTCTATTGTTTGAATATTAAGCGGTGGACATTCGGATTAGTTTTCTTTTTTAAAACGAAAAATAATAACTTATTGTTAAATATGAAAAATTTAAACGATCAAGAAATAAATCAACCTCGATATTGAGCGACTTCTTCGCCTATATGATGGTGAGCGTGAATTTGATAGCGAGCGCTGTCTACTTGAACGTCGGGTTCTTGAATGTGATCGTGAGCGAGATTGCGAAGATGAAATATTAGATTCTCGTTTTCCACGACTTGACGAGCCTCGTGATTTGATACTTAAGAATGCGTGTTAATTATTATCGGGTATATACATATACATATATCTATCTATCTATCTATCTACCTTTGCAAATTTCGAGTCACAATTTTGGTAGAGACAAAAGGTATTTCCTCTTGAGTCAGACGTTCCAACTCTTGCTCTCGTTCTTTTTGAATTTTCTTTCTTTCATCAACTTTTACTACATAAAATTTTTCAATATGAATCTAAGAATTATTTAAAGCAAATAATAAAAACAATCTAAATTTTACTTTGTTTATTTAAACCCATTTGCGTTTTTAACCGCAATTTCTCCGCCGGAGTCAATTTTTTTTGTGGTACAGCTTTTGAGGAAGTTGAAGCTGATCCGGATCCCGTAAATGTGGGTTTCGCAGATCCTATTTTCCTTCAAACAGCAGAAAATTTCGAAAATCAAAATAGTAAGCAAGTGATTCGAGGAAAAATCGAGCTCTTAAGACCTCAAAAGATGATGATGATTATTATTGAATTCTTTCAAAGCTCGTTCTAGCAAAAAAAGTCCTTGAGTTCGTGCACATTACTAGTGTGCTTCCATATCGAATCCTCCTCTGTGTGTGTATGTTTTTGAGTGGAAAAAGAAACTGCACCAACCGTGTTCGCGATGGGGAAGATGCAGAAACTTGTACGTCACTCGTGTTTGTGATAGAATTTTGTGATTCGGGAAGGAGAGATTCTTCTGAATCACCAAATCTAATAATAAATCCTTCTTCATTAGCGTCAATATTGTCCTTGTTACTTTGGTCTTCGGACGAACTGCTAGAAGTATTACTAAAGTAATCCAGCAAGCGTTAGTTATTAATAACAAAATCAAATTTTCGTCCAGTGAACTATTTTAAATGTCTTACGTGTCGGTGTAAGGTTCATAAGTGGGAGAGTCTCGCGTAGAATAAGGCCTAAAGAAATCGGTTCTTTATTAACTACATCTTTTAGGAATTATTTTTTTTTTAAAAAAAAGTTCTCGCCTATTTTGAAAAGATCTTCTATCTCTTCGTCGTCCCTTTCGTGATCCATGAGGATGGCGACGAGATTTTCTCTCCTTGATCTAGATTCACAAATTGGGGGATGACTAATCACTGAGAATTTTCTTCTTTCGCAATGTAACAAATTACCTTTTCTGTTTCTTTGAGTTCATTAGCTTTTTCTTGTCTATCACGTTTAGCAACACGCAAAAGTCTTGTGTAATCTGGAATATTGTATTGTCGACCCATTTCATTCAATGTTTGCCGATCCTTTTCAGTAAGATTTTCGACATAATCTAGAATATCCTCCTGTAAAGAAGAATATAAGGTCAAGGAAAACACACATTTTTGACATTATTATAGCCAATAGAACAAAGTTAAATTTTATTGCTGTATAAAAGAATATCATCTAAAATGTGAGTCTCTTCGTCACTTGGTGATGCGTCGCGTTTTTCAGTTCCATAGTCATAACAAAATCCTGATTTTGAGCTGCTCTCCGGTTTACTATAATAACATAATATAATATAATATAACAAATAAAAGAATCTGACACAATAACAAATCAAATATCTGTAATACATACTGCTCTTGCAATTTTTTCATTAATGCCTTATGTCGTTCTAGAAGGCTTGTCCATTCAGCCTCGTTTTCTTCTAGGCACTCTTTTTCTGACACTGAGAAAGAGGAAATCGTCACATAAAGAAAGTAAATCGATTCATTCTCTAAATCAAACTCTTAATACCATTGCGCCGCTCATTTTCTACCAACTCGCGAAATCTTTCGAAATTTAACTCCTCTTGAATATCACGCTCATCATTTGGCATTTGTTGATTCACGCTGGGAAAATCAGCGGGAAGATAGTCCAAAAGCGAGCGTCCATCAAATCTGTTGGAAAAAATCACAGATCAGTAAGTTAAATTAGTTTCAATATAAAAGTTATTCCTACCGATCAATCCTAGTGTCCTCATCGCCTTCCCAAGTCATTCTATCAAGGAATTCATTTTTTTCAATAGGTGTCGTGAGTCAATACATAGCAAGCATGCAAATCAATAAAATGACGCCTTTCTAGCCACATGCTTGAAATGCTTAAAATAGAGCGCTATAATTTTTGAAACTGTACAGTGGAAATCAAGAAACTTTAGCCTACAGTGACTTTTCGGGGTTTTCATAATAAAAGTGTTGTTCGGCGTCTGGATATAGTTTTATAGCAGTTCCTGTTAGACGAAGTAGCTGACTAGGGTCACCAAGCTAAAGTGTAAAATGCACAAGTAAGTGTCTTTTCTAACCAGAAAATATCTAAACAACACGTGCATAATAAAAATACCCGAGATTCGTAATATGCTTTACGTCTTTCAGCTCGTTTTTTGTGATCAACCATCAACACCTTTATCTATAAAAAGACAAAGTTTTTTAAAGAAAGCATCTTCGAATAGCTTGGCAAAGTTACAACATGAAGAATTGAATCAACTTTTTTCTCTTGTTGTCTCGCTGCATGCCACATTGTTATTCTTTAATGCTGAATATACTATATGTGTTGTCCGAAGGCGATCAATTCAACGTTGATCTACACAAGATTCTAGACTAACAAAATGGGATTCAGTTCAACCTCAATTAACAATAAAACTTGGTTTCAAACTTATGAGAAATATATAACTTGAATATTTAATCAAACCCACCATTTTTGGAAAAGTCAAATTTTTGGAGTCATTTTCGACCAATCAAAATTAGAACCCGTGACTTATCAAATTTGCCATATGATCCGGCTAACTCGGATTCAGAAGATAAAATAAAAATGTCTCCAACTGAAATTCATCAATTTGGTCCTATTACTGCTCATGCTTTTAACAAGGACAGAACACGTACGTAAATATAGGCCTATATTTGAATTTTTTAAAGTTCTATCATTTATTACTCTTTATTGGTTTCATAGAGGTTGCAATATGTCCCAACAATAACGAGGTTCAAATATATGCGAAAAGTGGTGCAGGTTGGAATTTGCTGCATACTCTCATAGAGGTATATATATGTGCATCGTAATATACTTTACGGAAAAATTTGAGAAAACGATAAGTTAAATTTTTTGGAAAAAGTTAATTTCTTTTATTATCAATTTGATAGCACGACAAGCTTGTCACTAGTATCGACTGGGCACCAGAATCGAACAGAATCGGTATTTAGATGTATTATAATAATTAATTATAACTTCTTTGAAATGTCAATTACTTGATATCTCGATATATTATGTACATTTAGTATCATGTTCTCAAGATCGTAATGCATATGTATGGAACCTTGATTCCGATTCTGGAATCTGGAAACCCACGCTCGTACTGCTTAAAATTAATCGGGCAGCTACTTTTGTTAGATGGTCACCCAAGGAAAATAAATTTGCAGTGGCCTCCGGTGCTAGATGTATTGCCGTTTGCTATTTCGAAGAGTCTGATGATTGGTGGATCAGTAAATTGTTAAAGAAACCGATTAGGAGCACAGTGTTGAGTCTTGATTGGCACCCGAATAATGTTCTGTTGGCTGCTGGAAGTGCTGATTTTAAGGTGTGGGATATTTTATTTTATTTTATTTTTCTTTATTCTAATACATGGGTATTATACATTCGTTTAGACCAGTGAAAATTTATCTCCTTTATTTATTAATTTACTAATTTGATCTTTTCTATAGGCACGTGTCTTCTCTGCCTATATTAAAGGAGTTGATCAAAAGTAATTATTATTATTATATATCCATATTGTACTCGATTTTCGTGGATAATATATTTATTTTGATATATGTTTAATATTAGACCACCATCTTCAGTGTGGGGTGACAAATTACCATTTAATACAGTGTGTGGTGAATTTACAAATGGAAACGGTGGTTGGATTCATAGTGTTGCGTTCTCCCCCAGTGGTGATGCGTTGGCTTTTACTGGTATTTATTTTGATGAGTTTATCATTTTTGTTGATTATAATACATAATAATCTAAATTGGTTATTTATATTAATAATAGGACATGACTCTCAAATTAGTATCGTTTATCCTGGCAGTTCTTCTCTAAAGGATATAAAAGTAGCCACGTTGCCTTATTTGAGTTTGCTTTGGATAACGGAAAATAAGATTATTGCAACTGGATATGATTGTGCGCCAGTATTATTTGAGACTCGTGATGGGCAAAATTGGTATATATGATATTATTTTATTCACATATTTATCTATGATTTAAAAAATCTGTAAATTCAAAATGCCATTTTAAATTTACATTAAATCAAAAAAAAAACTAGGAAATTCTCCAAAGTTATTGATGCCGGAAAAAAAAGAGTTGTTGGTGAAACGACAGCATTAACCAGATTCAAACAGATGGACGCGTTGGGTATTAACACGGATACTAGTGGTGCTAATGACACAGATTTGAACACTATTCATCAGAATACTATTACGTATGTTTTATCT